ACAAAAAAAACAAACCAACACAGCGGAGGATCCGAACCTCTTAGGCTCAACAGAGTTTGCTCAGACTGGTCGATCACGCTTCTTGCAAGTCGGCGCTTGATCCCCGATGGTCCAAGTGGCTCGGCACTGTTCCGTTACCCTATCCTCTTAGCCCAGCCCCCTATCCTCTCCTCATATCCATGTGTTGCAGAGGCAAGGGTGATGAGTAGACACGGGGGTGTTGCTAGCAATCTCAATAGAGCAACTGATATGGGAATGATGGCTGTTTGGAGATAGGGGGTGATGTTGCACTGAAAGTGAGTGCATGTTGCATCAAGAGTGTGTGAATGTGCGCAGAGGGAGTGGATGCAGCTCATGTGCTTGGAGTAGAAAATACAAGCGTTTATAATATTACTTTTAATAACAAAAATAAGTTCACAACGGAATTCTGGCTACTAATTTGGGTTACCTGCCCCACAAGCTGATCTTAAGTCCTTAGATAACATTCAAGACCTGAACACGTGGTGAGAAACGCAGCTAATGCACACGACCCAGTATGGTTCACCCGGTACGGTTCAGCCAGTACGGTTCAGCCAGTACGGTTCAGCCAGTACAGTTCACCCAGTACAGTTCAGCCAGTACGGTTCAGCCAGTACGGTCACCCAGTACGGTTCACCCAGTACGGTCACCCAGTACGGTTCAGCCAGTACGGTTCAGCCAGTACGGTTCAGCCAGTACGGTTCAGCCAGTACGGTTCAGCCAGTACAGCCAGTACGGTTCAGCCAGTACGGTTCATGCAGCCAGTACGGTTCACCAGTACGGTTCAGTATGGTTCAGCCAGTACGGTTCAGCCAGTACGGTTCAGCCAGTACGGTTCACCCAGTACGGTTCAGCCAGTACGGTTCAGCCAGTACAGTTCACCCCAGTACGGTCACCCAGTACAGTTCAGCCAGTACGGTTCAGCCAGTACGGTCACCCAGTACGGTTCACCCAGTACGGTCACCCAGTACGGTTCAGCCAGTACGGTTCAGCCAGTACGGTTCAGCCAGTACGGTTCAGCCAGTACGGTTCAGCCAGTACGGTTCACCCAGTATGGTTCAGCCAGTACGGTTCAGCCAGTACAGTTCACCCAGTACGGTTCAGCCAGTACGGTTCAGCCAGTACGGTCACCCAGTACGGTTCACCCAGTACGGTCACCCAGTACGGTTCAGCCAGTACGGTTCAGCCAGTACGGTTCACCCAGTACGGTCACCCAGTACGGTTCAGCCAGTACGGTTCAGCCAGTACGGGTCACCCAGTACGGTTCAGCCAGTACGGTTCAGCCAGTACAGTTCACCCAGTACGGTTCAGCCAGTACGGTTCAGCCAGTACGGTTCAGCCAGTACGGTTCAGCCAGTACGGTTCAGCCAGTACGGTTCAGCCAGTCCGGTTCAGCCAGTACGGTTCAGCCAGTACGGTTCAGCCAGTACGGTTCAGCCAGTACGGTTCACCCAGTACGGTTCACCCAGTACGGTCACCCAGTACAGTCACCCAGTACGGTTCACCCAGTACGGTCACCCAGTACGGTTCAGCCAATATGGTTCAGCCAGTACGGTTCAGCCAGTACGGTTCAGCCAGTACGGTTCAGCCAGTACGGTCACCCAGTACGGTTCAGCCAGTACGGTTCACCCAGTACGGTTCAGCCAGTACGGTTCAGCCAGTACGGGTTACCCGGTACGGTTCACCCAGTACGGTCACCCAGTACGGTTCACCCAGTACGGTTCAGCCAGTACGGTTCACCCAGTACGGTTCAGCCAGTACGGTTCACCAAGTACGGTTCAGCCAGTACGGTTCAGCCAGTACGGTTCACCCAGTACGGTTCAGCCAGTACGGTTCAGCCAGTACGGTCACCCAGTACGGTTCAGCCAGTACGGTTCACCCAGTACGGTTCAGCCAGTACGGTTCAGCCATTACGGTTCAGCCAGTACGGTTCAGCCAGTACGGTTCAGCCAGTACGGTTCAGCCAGTACGGTTACGGTTCAGCCAGTACGGTTCAGCCATTACGGTTCAGCCAGTACGGTTCAGCCAGTACGGTTCACCCAGTACGGTCACCCAGTACGGTCACCCAGTACGGTTCAGCCAGTACGGTTCACCCAGTACTGTTCAGCCAGTACGGTTCAGCCAGTACGGTTCAGCCAGTACGGTTCAGCCAGTACAGTTCAGCCAGTACGGTTCAGCCAGTACGGTTCAGCCAGTACGGTTCAGCCAGGCTCTCCAGGAGCTGCGGCTGGTCTGTATATATAGTCAAGGGCGGGTAACACCCAGTACGGTCACCCAGTACGGTTCAGCCAGTACGGTTCACCCAGTACTGTTCAGCCAGTACGGTTCAGCCAGTACGGTTCAGCCAGTACGGTTCAGCCAGTACAGTTCAGCCAGTACGGTTCACGTACGGTTCAGCCAGTACGGTTCAGCCAGTACGGTTACGGTTCAGCCAGTACTCTCCAGGCTCTCCAACAAACAGGAGCTGCGGCTGGTCTGTATATATAGTCAAGGGCGGGTAACAATTGCATGCCATTTTGCTTTTATTAACGTCCCTCTCTCTAGGGACTGCCAGACTTTTCAGTATAAGCGTCACTCGAATATTTTACACATTTTTGCGGCCCGAAGAAAAAATTATTTTATAAATGAGTAGATTTTATTCGCATCTTATTTTTTTGGGTAAGAAGAAAGATGGGGCAATTACAGAGGAAAGATGCTGTTCATTGTTTGGGAAATAATATACAATGAGTCAAAATCTCAAACATTAGCAAATGCTCTGACGAAAGAATCATTTACGTAACTGCAAATGGGGCAAAGCACACTATTAAATTTGTTTTATTAATTTTACTTATTAAAATTGTACAAGTGTTCACCTGAAATGGCCAATTTTGTGGCACGCAGTAAATAAAATACGCCTCAACAAAGAAATTCACTAAAAGAAATAAAAACAATTGTGGCCACAACGACAGCTGTCAGTGAAGGGCGAACACAAATAGCTTCAGGCTCTCCCTTTCTACACAAGTCCACAATAAACACTAGAAATAATGCCAAAGCAAAAACGTAATATTTGAAATAAATACAAACCAGAATAATTTGCCCAAAAGTATATAATAATAATAATAATAATAATAATAATAATAATAATAATAATAATAATAATATTTTATTTATGAAAAGTACATACATGGATGCAGTTACATTCTGATTGATATACTTTATAAACCCTTAATATATATACTAGCTCTATCTAAAAATCAGCTTGTAACTCAGTATATATGTATGTACTTGTACCTAAATATAAATTTTATTATTATTTTTTTCTGATTGCTTGGAATAGAAGAGACTCGGACACACAAGCGGCAGGACGCGCACATATTCTCAAGAAACAAAAGCTCATATTTACTCTGAGCTGGAAAATGGAAGTTTTCAATTCATAACGAAAAAATCATGAAGTCTTCCACAACAGGATTAATCAGAATGATGGAACTGCGTGGGCTGAGAAAAAAGAATTTAGATACAAATTTATACAGTAAACTAAATAATGTTATACTACTACTAATAATAATTATACAATTATCAATAATATTATTTAATAATTTATTAATAATTTAATTTATTAATAATTTATTATCAATAATAATATATTGTAATACCAACACTAATACACTAACTAATGAGGTTTATCGTAAATATCACTAATACTGTAGCCCCGATACACACACACACACACACACACACACACACACACACACACACACACACACACACACACACACACACACACACACACACACACACACCATCAATTTCCTTTACCATGAAGAACTGCCTGATATTAATCACTTTAATGGCACATGTGTGTATGGACCAAGGTTAGAGAAGCTGAGGGCCTCTGCTGGCGATGGTGGCTGAGCCGAGAGTGTCCTGTTGTCATGGGCGGCTTAACCCGCCAAACACACGACCAAACTAAGACGTTGCTGCAACGTTCGAACAAGGTTTAACACCTTACAATTGTAACAACCAATATAGCAAGCTGGAACAACGTTTTAATACGTCATGAAATGTTATAACAAGATGTAACAACTTTATTACACATTAAAAGGGAATCAGAGGGACCGTTACGTTGTGTTTGTAGGGTTGTAAGGTGTGTGTGTGTGTGTGTGTGTGTGTGTGTGTGTGTGTGTGTGTGTGTGTGTGTGTGTACTCACCTATTTGAGTCTGACGCCTAGAAGCATTTCGCAAGAACACTTTTCACATTTTCAAAGACAATTTTACATACTCAGATTGTCTTATATTCAATCCGAGTATGTAATGTGAGTGTGTGTGGTAGAAAGTAGAGGGATGGTGGGGAGAGAGGGAGGGGGGAAGAAAGGAAGGCAGGGAAAGGGAGGGTAGGGGTAGGGGTAGGAGAAAGGGGGTGGGGGAGATGGGTGATCAAACAAAATTTTCATAGAAATAAAAAAGGCTCTCCCCACTGCTACTCCCTACTAAAACATACATTACATTTCGATTATAAAGGAGTGTTTGATCTCATTTAGCATAGTTATTATGAACAGAAAGGGAAAAGTTAGCATCAATTGTCCATCATAAATTTCAGAAAGGTATCAGTGAGTACATTTTGGTACAGATAAAATATTTTTGCGTCTTCCAACAAAAACAAAATTATCCACATATAAATCTGGATATAACAAGTACATGTGCGAGGAGGATTTTTATATAATCCCCAAAAGACTCAACACTTACCAAGTTGCATTTAATTGAAGTTAGTTATGAAGTGAAGTTGAATTGCTTCGTAAGTACTCATCTCACCATTCCTTGAAGCTTTGTGTAACAAACTCACTTAAAGTGTGAGACCTCTCCCACACCTCCAGTGTGTGGAGGTGACTGGTGAGGAGGTAAGGGCGCTGCAGGAGACCTCTAGGCCCGTGACGGCTACATCCTGCTTACTCAACCCATTTTCATCTGTCCGACATATTCTTTTAAAGCTTTTCAACGTATTTGCTTCACTGGCGCTCAATGGCGCCACTTGGCAACTCGTTCCACAACGCTGTTGCCAAACCAGTGTTTACATCAACCATTTCTAAAATCTAATGTGTAAAATTGGAATTTGTCGTAGTATTCTTAACTTGATGTATATAGTTTAAAACTATATATATATATATATATATATATATATATATATATATATATATATATATATATATATATATATATAATATTTTTTAGGCAATGGGGTAACTCGAACTTCTAAGTTGGTCTGCTTTTGTACCATCATTGCCGAGTCGGTTGGGGCAGGTGTCTGGGATTCCCAGAACGCGAATTCGAATCACTTCCATTGCCTCTAAATGATTTTCATCGATTAGGGTATCGGCGGGTACCCATACTAGTTTATATATAAATTTACATCCAAATATATTTTCAATGTAAATCATGACAATGTAATCATAATTAGTCTCCCAATATAAAATTCAAACGAATCCATAATGAAATTGATATATTGTAGTTAATTACACGTAATTTAAACCACATTAGAATATGATTTACACTCTATGCACCATAATCAAAACCATTAAACACAATATTAAATTATATTCCCGGGCAAATTCCAGGTGGACTCATAACCAACTGGCATAACCTGGATACTTAAATGATACGAGTCGGGGCTATAATTGCTGACAATACTTTGTCATTACCAATTACCATACAAATCACACTCTCATTTGCTTCATAATTTTGCTTTGATATGGTTCTAATAGACTCGGACTATTTAGGCACGTTTATTATTGATTTTTCATCCTGTTCCCCCTGTCCACCCCGGAGGCTCTACCCCAAGGTTCCCCGAGGGGGTAAACTATGGTAGTCAACCCGGAGGCTCTCCCTGGGGGCACCAGGTCATTCAAATAAGGTAATAATATGTTTTATGAACATAAATTTCAGCTCCTTCGCTATGTAGTCATATTGGCTTAGTGCTTTCTCCTGATAATTACCTATCCTGCTCTATGGAAACAAGGAAAATATACAAACGGAAACCTTATATA